GCCGATGAGATCTCTTCTCCTTCCTCATGTCCATTATCATCTCCTTCGTCTTGTCTGTGTTGAGGCTGAGATTATTGTCCTTGCACCATGACATCAGACCGGCCACCTCCCTCCTGTAGGTTGCTTTGTCCCCGCCAGTGATGCGACCTATCACTGCAGTGTTGTCTACGAACTTTAGGATAATGTTGTCTTTGTGGGAGGTGACACAGTCGTGGGTGAACAGGGTGTAGAGAATGGGACTGAGGACACATCCCTGTGGGGCGCCGATGATTGTGATAATGTTGGCTGAGGTCCTGTTGCCAATCCTGACAGTCTGGGGCCTGCCAGACAGAAAGTCCAGGAGAAGGAGAAACTCCACATCTGAATCAAATTTGAGTCCTTTAGCTGTTTTTAACACTCCCTATCCCAAAAAGCCAAACCGATGTTAACCCAGGTTTTTGCTCTTTCTCTGTGCAAACAAATGTAGCTTCTACTGACAGCTACTGTTTCCGACTTTTAGCTGCCAAGAGCGCCTCCTTAGCTTTGCTGTTTAAAATAACAACTTATTCAGAAATGCTTAGAACCTTCGCTAGGTGGAAAGCGAGGCTAATTTACAGACAGTGCTGTGGCAACAGGATTGAGAAGCTGAAATAACAACAGATGCGCTGTAGGCAGCAGGCTGTCATGGAGGGTTGTGGGATAGCTCACAGACACCACATCCTGTCCCATTTTCACTTGATTTATCGGACAGTGTATAAAATCTTAGTTTAATGCACCTTTAACCTTCTAAAACCTGCTGTGTATATATTTTCTGTCTGTGTGCTTAGGCGGACTGTTTTCTAAAACGGAAATGTCTGAAGTACTAACAGAGATTTTGAAAGTGGATCCGTCCTTTGACAGAGATTCTTTCCTTAAGCAGTGTGAACGAGATATCATCCCCAATATATTGGAGGTATGTTGGAATGCAAAAAGAGCTGATTCCAGCTTCTGTTAAGACTCAAGATATAGGCTCAGTTATTTTTGTGCAACACTGAATTTCAGTGGATGTGACTCGGATTTTGCGACACTGTTGCAAGTGAGAGCATACTGTACCTCTAACACATTTATCTTAAGTATAAATCTAAAGCAGGTTGACTACAGTGCTGCATGTGATTTTGTCATGGCTTATCCTTAAATAAGTATTCTGTAAGTGTTGTCATTTTTAATCGTAATCCTGTGTTTGTCTCCATGAAGGCGATGGTCAGAGGGGAGCTGGATGTACTAAAGGACTGGTGTTATGAAGCGGTATGACCTTTCTTACATGCTCATTCTGTGTTTGAAATACTGAAAAACAGATGCTGTGTGCTTCTGTTAATATTGACGTGTACAGACAGCAGTTAGATTGCTGACATAGCAAGGTGGTACCTTGATTTTGCCTTCAGGTGTGCAGTTCTTAATGAAATGTTTAGTCATACTGTTACCTTCTTTTTCTCTTGGGTGTAGACATACAGCCAGCTGGCACACCCAATTCAGCAAGCCAAGGCCATGGGACTTCAGTTCCACTCCAAGATCCTGGATGTTGACAACATTGATGTAAGTTCCTTCAGAACACACAAGATTTAAAATGAAGCTTTGGGTATTGGCACTCCCAAGTAGTAGTTCACTAGGGTATGTGGGTGAGCATTAAAATGTTTTGGTTCATGGCCTGAAATTAGCTTTTAATTTTAACAAGCCAAATTAATTGACAACCCAAACATCAAGTTGAGCAGATTTAGAATTATAAAATTAAGTGCAATGCATATGCTTTTGTCTTCCTACGTTAGGATAAGACCAACACTAAGAGTCACCTTGTTAGGAGCCTTTAGTTCATAGGTTTGATTTGGAGAGGTTACTGTTAGTGTATACGGTGGTCTGAAGGGATAATGTTTTCAATTATGAAAAATCACTGAGCCTCTACAGCTAAGGTAGGCAAACGTCACTGCTCTTTGTTCATTTTTGGCTTGTGCAATTCTCGATCGTAACGTCTATATATTTAAACATCTCTTGGTCCATGATGCACTTCTTTAATATTTGCATTATATCTAAAAATGCCATTTGTTGGTTCAGTACAGTGTATTTTTATCTGTTCCAGTTGGCGATGGGGAAGATGATGGACCAAGGTCCGGTATTGATTATCACCTTCCAGGCCCAGTTAGTCATGGTGGTTCAAAACACCAAAGGAGAGGTGGTGGAGGGAGACCCTGTAAGTAACAAACACTCGGTCTCGGATTTGGTTGAATCTGTCATGTGACCAAAGTGTATTTTCTGTGTTATGTTATTCATTGTAGCTTGTGAATTGTCTTAGATAATCAGTGTAATTCTAATTAACTTTGACATTAAGATTGTTAATATTAAACATGGCTGTAGCTGGCACAAAATGTGTTATAAATGGGCTACCAGAGAATATTAATAAGACAATGGAGTCATTTTTTACTATATAATTATATAAATGACTCTGGGCCCCAACAAAAGTTTTATGGGCTGTAAATCCGCCATGTTTCCACTCTGGGCACCTCAGGTGCACCTGGTAAAGAGGTCGAAGTATCCACTCAGTCCACACAGTTGGCATTTTGCCAAAGGAGTAAAGGTGGATATACTGTTCTTCTGAAATTGCCAGTTGAAACCTAATGTCTGGGCCTTAAACAGCAGAATCCACCCTTATGGACTTACACCCAGCTTTCTTGTTTGATCGCATACTTTTAAATTTCTTGGTTTTAGATACACATAGGACATCTGGGTAACAGCTGGGCATCCAAAGTACTCTGAGTAGCTGCTGAACTCATTCTCACTAGTACATTGTCTGTAAATGATCTCAGTTGGGGAAAAAAAATCACATTTAAAATATGTATCTGTTCTCATTGTTTTACATTAGTTAAGAAGAAGTGAACAGATAAGAATAAGTGCTCCCATCTGTTTTACTTCCTCCAGGATAAAGTGCTGAGAATGATGTATGTGTGGGCTCTGTGTCGGGACCAGGAGGAGCTCAATCCATATGCTGCCTGGAGACTACTTGACATCTCTGCCTCTAGCACTGAACAGATCCTCTAAGACTCTTTGATATGCACAAGACATACTCACCCAGGGAGAGAACACACTGTACCTGAACAGGTGCTGGTCCTGGATGGGATGAAACAGGGGAAGGAAGGCATGTGAAGATGGGGGACAGACAAGTGGCGCAGGGGCTCTCTTCACAACAGAAACATTATGGAGAAGTGCTGCTAAACACTTGGTGCTTCACTGTCTCATTTTCACTACACTGGCTTTATGTTCAGTCACTGCAGTCCTGACGGGGTTCTTTGAATGCTTAACACCATTCCTCAGATTTACACTAGGGGGCGGTAAATTACCAAGAACTGTTATCCACTGTACTTTGTCCAGGACCTGCATGATGCCTTTTTATTGAATCAGTATGATGCCTTGTAGCTGATGTTGGCATTTAAGGGATAACTGAAGTTAACTTAAATTTAGCTCTTTTACTATAAATATAAAAAAGCGATGACGTGGACATCAGGAGAGTATTCGTGTACACAAGCCCTTCATCTTCAGGTTGTTTTTCGTTTCTTATCAGTCCCTTCATACTCTGTCTTCATCTCTGAGGCAAGGTGTTATCTTGGTGGTGGTGTGGCCAAACAGAGCTCTCCTCAATCCTTGTTTGTCAGATGATTGTCCGATGTAATTGTTAATCTGTGCAAAAGTTTATATTTATTATGAAAAATAAAGATAGCCCCTGTTTTTCACGCTAGCAAACATTATTGAAAATAATTTTTTTATCAGAAGAATTTAACTACTTTGTATATGGCAAAGCTTGCCTTCAGGTCTTGAAGATATGTAGTCTTTCTAGGGCAGTTGCTAGTTTTCTTTTTTTAATATGTTAAATCCTCCGGTGGGATTTGAGTGATTGCTGTGCTATTTAGTTTGGGGTGAATCCAGCCTTAAAATCTGTGTTTATGAAGCTCAAAATGTTTCAGTGTTTGGTGAAATTGTCATAAATGTACAAGTTCAATTATATTAGGATGCAGAGGAGCATGCAGCATAAACTTTGACAGGCAGTAGGGAGGCTGCATGTTGTGTGTGTGTGTGTGTGTGTGTGTGTGTGTGGATGAAGACCAGCAGCTCCACTGTTCCAGCACTGTCCTAGATAATGGATCCTCTCTGTTGCTGAGCTGTGCTGAGGTTGCAGACCCCCAAAGTGGTGCTCATTGCTCAGGATGCAACCCCTCAACTCACACACATACACACACACTCACACTACCCTTGAAATGGGTATTCAGTGCAGCCACCCAGGAGAATTCACAGCCTGGAACTGTGGTCAGCTGGATTGTGTTACCTACTGAGTAAGACAAGTTCTGACTCACATGCTTGTGAATTTGCATCAGTCTTTTACACTGATTTCATTTGATTTATTTGCATTCTTCCAAAACCATGTGATAATGAAGTAGTCTTTTCATTTGTGCGCTGGCACACCAAAAGACTGAGTCACTTTTGGTTCCTGTCATTGTTACAGTATGATATTCTGTTACTGCAGTTTCCACCAGCGTCTGTTATAAAAGGTGTTTCTTATTGGTGCTTTCAAACTTAAATCACACAGATTTGTTTTCAAAAATTCAAAAATGTAATACATGCCATTTATCCTGGACACTGGAATGAATGAAATCCTGCTTATATATATATATATATACAGCATATATACATAGAGAGAGACAAGCTGCCAACACAGATGAAGAAAAAATGGGGAAAAAAGCAAGTATTAAAATGCGATTCTAACGGCAGCAACTAAGAATTTATAAAACATATTTAAGCATGTGAATAATGTTAATGGAAATTCATTTAGAGACCAAAGGGAAAAAAAAAACAGTATTGACCTGCAAAAGCTTTCATAGTGGATAATGTTTTATTTCATGGTGGTTATTTACTAATCTTTAAATACTAAATCTTTATATAACGAAAGTTAATTTCAGCTGCTATAATTCCAGCACATTGCAAGTGTTTCTCACCTGTCAGCCATCCTTGTTTTTAAGCGTCTGACCCATTTCCTTTCTTCCCTGTGATCTGTCTGATGCCCTATTAACTATGCTGTCCTTGAGCTCACCTGGTATCCAGTCTCCTTAAGGATACTTTAACCAGCATTGTCTTTTTCTGGAGTCCTCCTTCCATCTAATTATCTTTTACTTTTGAGGGAAACTGCACAGGTTAACTGCATCATTTTCATGTATTGGATTACAGTATGTTGAATATAAGCAACAATATGATGGTAGGCAACAATACCCCTATGAGCAGCAAAGGAAAAACTATTTTATGCATCAGATATTTTCCAGTGGGCTTAATGCAGCATGACATTGTTCTTACTTGATCTGAAGTTGAGTGCTGGCTGCTACAGCTTTCTGATGTGCCCTATGGAAAAAGATCAGATGAAGGTTACCAAAGTCTGTGCGTATGTGTAAACATGTATGGGTGCTCGCGCTGACCCAGATTCCCCAAGTAGGTGGCCACACTAGAAACAGTACAAATTCACATTCAGGTGGTCAGACCACAGTGTGTGTAAAGGTCTGCAGGGTGTTCCTGTAAGAGAGGGATTATACAGGATGTTGGTGGGTGTCCAGTAGAAACTGAGTCTGTTCATCTTTCTGCCTGTTGGTCCCTAAGGTACAACGTCACAGTGCCCACACAACCTGCTAACCACCATAAGAGTGCAGTGCAGATGTATTTCTGTCCAGGTTTGTCACAGTTTTCTTCCCTTCTCACTAGATGCTGCTGCCTTCTGGAGTCCACACCTGTTCTGTTATAGAAAAATACTTTGTGAATTGTGAAATGATTTTCTTCAGATGCAAATAAATCTCAGAAAGATGATGGCCTACAGTATGTAGCGATGACCATGATGTCGGCATAACTTTTTTGATTTTTCTCAAGCACAATATGGCAGATAGTTGGCTGAGGGCAGTTCAGTAATACTATAGATCTTTGAGGCTTCTGTTGGGAATTATTGCCTCACATTAGAATAAAAATTTTCTTTTAAATATTATCCTCTTCATCTTTTCATGAGGCTTTCCTTGTTATTGCAACTCTAACAGTGTTTGATATCTAATATTAAGAAGCTTTAGGTCTTCCTATGAAAGTCAGCAGTCAATATATCTTTATCTTATTTTCATATATCGCTGTAGTCCCACAGGATCAGACAGTGATATCAAACAGAGAAGGGGAGCCAACTGTGGACGTGTTATGAAACAGCTCCTTTGCCTTTGATAAAAGTGAGAGGAAAGGAGATAGAGAAACGTAGTCAGTGAGAAAGAGAGAATGAGAGACACATAAAGGGAGATGAGGTGGAAGGACAGGCAGACAGACAGTACATGTTTAGCATTGTAAATGAGTGGCAATGTAGGCAGCAAATTTATTGGCAGGTCATGAGTGCCTGTTCAGCTGTGCCACCACGCACACCCAGAGACCAGCAGGACATGGCAGACGTGCTAGAATTCCCAGAACCAACATTACAACAGAAACATGGGACGGTGGCTTGCGGTGTGTATTAATTCATGTCACCAAATGCATAAATATACACATATAGCATGACTGTTTGTCGGTGTGAGGGACACTACCGCAAAACAATTGCTGCTTACTAAGAGCACATTTCCTGGCCACCTGAATCTTTTTCTTTTGAAAATTGTTATGCTTTTCTATCATTTTCAATCTATGTCAGTTCTATTATTACCTTCCTTCCCCTTCTCCTCAACCTCAGTTTTTTTTTTTTTTAAATCTAATCCTCTGTCCCCCCAAGACACTATCAGCAAGCCAGCCATAATTGCAGGGAGCAGATTCTTTATGAGGTGATTCTGCTGAGAGGAGGGAAAACAATATAAGCAAATGCTGTTTCTATTGATCAGCCAGTGTCTCTGTTCTCCCTCCAGACGGCTGTGTTTACTGTTCCTATTCAGTGGTCTTATATGTCTTAAGATTTAGTGGACCTGGCTGCCCATATTAGCTTCTGCAGGAAGAATTTCAGTAGACGAACACAAGGAAGTGCTGCTGTAAATACGGACTGCTCTCTCCTAAGTAAACACACACAACTTCATAAGTTGTCTAGAGAAGTGTCAAGCATAACCTTAATCTTCTGACCCACACCACAGAGGGCAGTCTGAAGAAATTTATTATTCTCCTCCAGACCTGGAGAATGAGCCACCTGTGTATTCTCCACCTCTTATAACAGTGGGGCTACTGTATATTATAGGATTCAGATTAAGTGTGAGGTGATGAAGGACAAGTGGAGAAGAGAAGAGGAATGTTCGAGTTCAACATAATAAAATGACTCATGGGAATTGCTGTGAGTATACTATGATACGTATACACAGGTGACAAATTAAATGAAGTGTGAAGTGTCTTAGCAAGGTGCTGGGCCGCTACGTGCCACCAGAACAGCTTCAGTGCAACTTGGCATCGACTCTACATAACTCTGAGGGAGGGATGAACATCATCCTTCCAAAAGATATTCCCTCATTTGATATTTTGATGGTGGTGGTGGAGAGCACTGTCTAAAATGTTGGTCCAAAATCTCTCATAGGTTTTCAATTGAGACCTGATGACTGCAAAAGTCACAGCATATGATTCAAATCACTTTCATGCTCATCAAACCATTCAGTGCCCCCTCATACTTTATTTATGGGGCCAATGTCATTCTGGAAGAGCCCACTCATTTATTCAGGGTTTTCCATTAATTTGTCACCTGTCTCTATGTGTTTTCCTTCATGCCCCAGATGCTGTGACAGATCACCTCACCTGCAGTGACAGCGGATCTATAGGAGAAAATTAGAATTCAACTGAGGCCAAAGGACAGCTGGAATGGTCTACAGGCACTGTCCTGCTATTCTACTTAACCTCACTGCTCTTCACAGCCTATCAATAACAGCCTATAATGATGATGGAGGCTGGGTAAGATTAACTTTCCACACTGTTACCAAGTCTTATCAGTCATGGAGGCCAGCAGTCTGGGGAAACGAATGTTCACTTGCTAAAGGTTTGCATTAGCACAAGGGAAATTACACACTACTGACCATTAAAACAAAGGATCTTCTGGGAAATCAGCGGTAATCCAGGACAAAGAGCCCTAAGCCACAGGAGCTAAGGGAGCAGTTACAGGTAGGGTCCATGTATTTCTCTTTTTCTTTACTCTTACTGTGGTTGTGTGTGCGCTGCTGCACACTTTGGTTGGTTTACTCTTCTGTCTTTGTCAGGAAGACAGGTAGATGAGGTTGTGAATAAAGAGTTCCATCCTCTCATCAATAGTTATCAAGGTCAGGGTCACAGAGACAAGACAGGTAAGGTGATTTATTACTGGAGGCAGAAGGTGGAGCACTAAAGAAGGAAAATGAGGAAAGGTGAGGGCATGCAACACAGAGGCATGCAGACTGATACACCTGCACATGATGGTGCACTGGGAAATATAGCAGCTAAAATGCTAAGGTTCAGGGCTGTTGTGCACATACAGTTTGTTGTTCCTCTGGATTTGGGACTTGGATGGCGTGTGATAAGAAACAGCCCAGCTCTGCTAATTATCCCAGTGGACTGTTCTGTTTTCATGTGGCTTTCTTTATTGCATAAGTGTTTGTAATTTACTATAATCACTCATTTGATTGATTAAAGATTTATAATTAGCCTGCAGAACCTTGCAACATAACTCACGTTAATATACTGTAACTTGAATGTTCCTCAGCTCGTAGTTTTTTCTTGTATTTCCCTTCCACATTACCCAAGCGTCAGGCTGACATAGTTAATCCCCTGCACTGTTCTCATGAGAATCCTCCACAGACTAATCATGCTTCAAAGAATAATTGCAGCCATTTAAAAGCAATGCGTGAATGGTACTCGATAATATGACTTCATTTTCCCCACAGACCCTTCACGCCCTACTGTACTTTTTGCCAATGGCAAGGACGGTTTGGGGTCTTACAACTGCTTGTAAATGTTCATACAACTAGAAAATTGAGCTGTGTCACATCTATATGAAGGCCCCTGTTTTTCTGGGGTTTTCAGGCAACAGAACTTAGATTGAAAAGTTAAATAAAAAAATAATCATATTAGGTTTTATGTAACCATTGGCAGCTTTTGTTGAAGTTGTTGAGACTGTAATTAGGCACAGCTAAATGCTAACACAGGAGGCTAACATGCTCACAATGACAGTGTTACGGTGCAGATATTAGTAGGTATAATGTTTAGTGTAGTTGTTAGCATGGTGACAGTTGCCAATTAGCATTAAAGACTGAGGCTGATAGGAATATTATACAGTATGTATTGGTAGGTATTATTAATAAACCAAAATATTAGACATATTAACGCTAGATGAAAAGTCAGAATCCATCCAGTAGTTGTCAGAGATACTTAATTCAAACCCTCAAATATGAACCTCATTGTAGAACTGTACTAGTAAAAAAGTCAGGGGAGCAGCAACGTCAGTGGGATTCAAGCTCTGTGGACCATGAATCTCTGTGCCAAATGTCATCGAATCCATATAATACAGCAAAAACAAACAGATGTTGAGCTATACATGTTTTATTTCTTTCATCTACTTCCAGATTTCAGTTTTATTTCTTCCTCATTTTCCTTCCCCATCTTGTACACACACACACA